AGAGAGAGAGAGAGAGAGAGAGAGAGAGAGAGAGAGAGAGAGAGAGAGAGGAGCAATGGCAACCTGCACGGAGGGCTGCGGTGAACTCACCCCCCCCCCCCTCTCTCTCTCTTTCTCTCTCTCTCTAAAACAAGAGTGAACCTTCCCCTAAAGCTGGCAAAGATACACCGCCTTGATTATTGTCTTCTTTTATGTCGAGGAGGAAGTAACCGGTTTTTTTTTTTTTTTTTTCCATGTTTTTCAGAGTAAATCCCGTTTTTTCTGTCGTTGCTTTTTGCATTTTGTGTTTTTTTGTTTTTCTCTGTTCTTTATTCCGTGTTCTTCTCCAAGCACGTTTGGGCATAGCTGGGCCAAGTACTGGTGGTTTAAGGGGTTAAAAGTGCAAAATGCGTCCGTTTTAGTAAGTTTTATATAATCATAGAGTATGTTGAAAACTTCAAATGAGTGAAAATGCTGAGAATCTAGATGATGCCTACACTTTCAAATATGTGTTGTTGTTTAGTATTTTGAAAACCTTGAAGTGGTATTGTTAAAATAATGAATCTTCTCTTCCTTCGTACGTCGCTTTTCGGATGGATGTTGATGTTGAAGATTCTGAAATGCTTGAAATTTTTAACCTTCTCTCCTCAAACTTTTGTGTTTGTTTAGGGGGAGGGATATTGAGAGTTTTCAGCACCTTCAGCATTGCAGAACTTTTATTGTTTGGATGCAAATTGATGTTGCATATTATGAAAATTATGGAGTGGTGGAGGTAGTGGAAATTCAAAATCTTTCCTTCCTCCTGTTTTATGGGGGCTGATGTTGAATTTTCACGTTTTTCCCACTCAAAATTGTTTAGAATTACAATGGATTAGACAATCCGGTTGAAGTGTTGGAGTGCAATAACTATTGTGCTTTGTTTAGAGGAAGGGCGTTGAAACTTCCCATTATCGTCATCAATACAACGCTGTAGAGCGCATCGGTACCGCATGGGGATCCTCCGACCACGTCACACAAAATTTTGGCAGTTAAGAAGCGAAGAGTTTTTGAGCAGTGCTTCGCTCGTGTGCGCCAACTGTATCTCTCCTGAGTTCCTCCACCCTTGGGAGTTGTTACCATTTCGTAGGTGGGCCTTACCCATGTCGATCTACAAGTTTACGTGCGGAAGCTTTTATGTGTGGTTGGGGTGTTTCCCGTGTGGTGTAGCATAGGTGGTTCGCGCGGTTAAAACCACTTGGGGCGATGATCTCCCAAGTGCGGTCCAATGTCGGTCGACTACGACACTAAGTCTAACCACAAGAAAAAACTTTCACTCGATATCGTCAAAAAAATTAAGCAGGTGCTTAGTCTCGTTTTAACTTTTGAAAGCAAAACGCGTCTCTCACATAAGCGAACACATTAGGCCAACCAATAAATAAACAAACATTTCAACATTCAGGAATCCATTGAAAATTGAGGTTTTATACGACAGGGAAAAAATTAACCCAGCAGGTATGTGGATTGCGCGGCAATTCAATTATCATTCTCACTGTTCGCGAGGTGTGGCTTGGACATCAAGCTTTATAAATATCAAACCAAAACATCATTAGTGGTAAGCATTATCAGTGGTACGTTAAGTTTCAAGAATTAACATGCATAAAGCATATACGTATGCGAGAAAGTCACA